ATAATATATATATATATATATATATATATATATATATATATATATATATATATATATATATATATATATATATATATATATATATATATAATAAATGGACAATCCGACAATTTATTAAAGACATTTTTATGTTTAACATTGTGGCCGAGTCGGTTAAGGCACGTCAGCGTAAATGACGGTTCCGTATAGGATGCAGGTTCGAATCCTGTCAAAGGACGAATATTTTCTATGAAAATTTCTCGGACATCCAGGCCGGTAAATGTTATTTAATACTGTTTATTATAAACAGAGCATTTACTTAAATACTTGTATCTATAAAAAGAATGTTAAACATGAAAATGTCTTTAATAATATATATATATATATATATATATATATATATATATGGTGGACTCTCCCGCCATATATATATATATATGATGGACTCTCTCGCCATATTCAACGTATGAGGGTCAAGCAGCTCAGTTCCTCGGAATCGACAGCCCAGACACCAGCACATATGATTTGATTATCGTGGTGAAGGCTTTGTACAGAATCAACCACACTTTTTGAAGGGCCTAATACAGAACCCTTTTATTTAAAGATAGAAAATATTTTTAGAATGTCAGAATTTTTGGAATTAATAATGTTTTACCGATACAAAACCTACTTATTAAGCCATCGCTGGCTGGGGTGGGGGATACATGCTTTTTTCAAGAGTATTTGCGCGTAAATAAATATAACAAGCCTGGCTAGAATTGGAACTCAAGCCTCCGACTTCTTTTTCCGAGCCGTTGTCCATTACCCGATCCGCACATCCAGACTTACACATCTGGTATTCCCAAGGAGTCACCCAACTTGATGATGACCAAGCTTGGCGTTTACTTAACTTCGGTGATCGTACGTGAACCGGTGTTTCCAGGTAAGCATTTTCTAATGTTTCTCACTAAAAAGTCATATTGCGTTGTATTGCAACTGTTCATGACTTAATTAAGTATTTAAAGAAGACAATGATAAAAAAAAAAACAACAAAAAAAAAAAAAAACAAAAAAAAAACGTCTGCATGCGTATAGAGAAAAAAATCGGTGGACAACACCGCGTGGAAATATCAGGTGCTTGGATATGCATGCGGCCTAATGGATAACGACTCAGAATAAGAGATCGGGGAGACGAATAACCTCTCTTAACCCGCCTATGGGTTAGAGAGGAGAGCATTTGAGTTAATCAGTTGGCGAGCAGTCTAGCAGAACAACTCTGAATTCAAAAACGGTATGTACCCTGGTGAAACACATACTGTATGCAGCCAGTGAAAGGATCGTTAAAATAAATAATAATAAAAGCATACAACAATTATCATCATGTGTTTACTTATATATTTCCTGTCGCATCTGTAGTAAAAGGGAGGTAAACCAATTTAGGTTAGTGAATTTATGAATGATTATATTAATTATTTTAATAATCTATACAAATAACATATTTATCTGCATTTAGACAAAATTATTACCCGAGCAAAATGATCCGTTTATTTAGTCTGTTTCTTTAATCCAAAGGTTTTTTTTAGATTGCAGTCTTATTTGTTCAAGCCTTTCATGTGAAGCACTTAGATACGTCTGTTTATTAATTGATCGTCTTGTTTCAATTTTGTTTTGAAATTGGCTTTGTCGTTGTGCTGCTAATTTTCTTTTGCCGAGAGATATTTGCATTTCTAGATTATATTAAAGACGCAAAAATTTTAACATGAAAATATATTGATTAAAAAAGCTATTTATATAATAGCAGGAGTAGTCAATGAACCTTACACAATATTGAACTTTAAAAAATAAAATAAAGAAAGGAACAGATTAATAAAACGGATCATTGGCTTCTATATTAGAAGATATTACAAGAGATATTCTTTATCTCTGCTTTATTGAATCAAAATAGTTTTGTTTTAAAAACTTTTGTTTCTCTACATCTCACTATAAAAACTTTCTAACAATTACAGTAATTTAAGAACATGGTAACATCAGCAATCCCCGTTGTGGTTGGAGCCCAAGGATTGGTTGGAAAAAATTCCAGTAGATTAATTGAAGGGATTCCTGGAAGCCCATGCCTGAAAAAAATACAAAAAAAAAAAAAAATTGTCACAATTACAACACATACTTTACGATGCCATTTCTAACCATAGGTCCCTGTGCAGGACCCGGAAAGAAATGTGTAAACGCCAAAACCAAAGAAAATAATAATAATAATAATAATAATAATAATAATAATAATAACTTCTACGGGAAGGAAACTGAAAGAAACTGGTATGAACACCACCCAGACCCGGTTACGGAGATAGGGCCTGTTACACAATACACACTGACAGAACAATCAAGGCCAATCGGCCAGATATTGTTATTAAAGACCACAAACAAAAACGATGCCTCCTTATTGATATGGCAGTCCCTGATGACTGCAATGTATCTTTGAAGATATTTAAAAAGTTGTCAAAATACAAGGACCTTGAAATAGAAATCTCAAAAATGTAGCATATGGGAACATCAACAATCCCTGTTGTAGTTGGAGCCCTAGGACTGGTTGGAAAAGATTGCAGTAGACTAATTGAAGGGATTCCTGGAAGTCCATGCCTCAAGGAGATACAAAAAATTGTTCTGACAAGTACAGTCCATACTTTACGAAAGGCTTTATCTATGTAATTTTTTTTTTATCAGTGGAAAGTGTCATGATGCCATTTTTAACCTTAGGTCCCTGGGCGGGACACAGAAAGAAATGTGTAAACGCCAAAAATCAAAGGAAAAAAATAATAATTAAAATGCATACACCTGGCACACTTCAATAAATAGATATAAATCATAATTTCGTAACTGCTGTTGTTCACATGTCCACTCTGACCCGGGGTGGTAGCACCTCTTCGGGTCCCAGCCATGGGTAAATCAAACATCTAAAATTGTTAAAAATGCATTTTTATAGCAAAATGAGCAGGAAAAAGTTTTGTAGCACATTGACTAGTAATACATTTATAGTAAAATTACGAACAGTACATTTTATTATGAAATGACCAACAATACTTTTTATAACATAATTACAATAAATACAACACTCAAAAGTACAAAAATATATTTTATGGTACAGTTAACAGCAATAAATTTTTATAAAAAATTACAAACAATACCATTTTGTACTGAAATTACCAGCAATACATTTTGTCAACAAAAATACCAATGATATATTTTATCATCTAAAAACAATATATCTAAACAACATACATTTTCTGAATTTATAAAATTGTGTACAAAATATCTGCAATTCAAGGCTTAAAATTGCGTACAAAATATCCGTAGTTCAAGGCTTACAAATGCGTACAAAATATCTGCAGTTCAAGGCTTACAATTGCGTACAAAATATCTGCAGTTCAAGGCTTAAAATTGTGTACAAAATATTTAGATTTCTGTATTAAATAACTCATTCTGGTAGTTATGCTGCTAAATTGTTATGGTTTGGTTTGATTTGGTTTAACCAAACCAAACCATAAGTGTTATTCGTTGCACAGGCATTTATGAAAAAATTCAGTTATTAACACACGACAAATTCAAAGATTTAATGTTCTTCCTTTGATCAAAATCATATTACTGTGAGTGTGTACAAGAAATATTTTCTGTATGTGTCCATGCAGTGACAGCCCTAGAGTTGCTGGCACCCCGGGCAAGCGGAAATTCGGTGCCCTTACAAGTATATATTTTTAAAATTTTCACAAGGAGAAAAACTGAAAATTCAGAATGATGAGTCAATATACAACTTAATGGAAGCGATCTAAATCATTTATAATGCTCTACTGAAAACAATCTTGTCTCACCTTTACATCCGCAAATCTTTTCATGACAGTTTCTACATCTCTCTTCTTTACAAAATCATATTCTACTGACAAAAATAGCCAAAGAATTTATTCTGTTTTGAGTCATGGACGACCGCAAGTGTGTTTTTATAAGTTTTCGTTTTGGAAGATTCCAAAAACATAACATGGCCGCATGATGGCGACTTCGGTCTTGATGGCTCCCTTGATGACTGCTCGAGTTGCCAGTAACTTGAACCGGCCCCGTATACATGTAGAAAGTGTTTTTGTTAGAGCTAATATAGGGATAATCGACCTCTGTGAGAAATATAAATACAGAAAAAAAAAAACAGGCAAGAAATGGAAACGGTCTCTGATGACGGTCTCCTAGCTACGACTCCTTGCAACGTACCGAAGGTTTTCTTTATTGCATGAATGTTAACGTGAAGAATTAAACAAAATAGACATTCAGTAGTATTTCCAACGGGGTAATTTATCTTCATCTTAAAAGTTATTGGAACTTAACTAACCGCCTAGTTGAATGAGTCGCAACTCTTTATACAGGGAAGTATCCGTGCTGATAATAATTCAAGAAAAATGGCGTTTTCTGGTGTGACTGACATTCTACAGATGACCAGACTCGCTCACGATGCTAGATACGTACATATTTACTTAGTTCCACCTAAAAGATTTTATTTAAGCACCCAGTGGGAATCGAGTTTATTCACATTCGCCAGCTAAGAATAACTTAGAGAGATATCTAGTTATGGCCCACGATTGGAGATTTTCATTTAAACCTTATCTATTCAAATCGCAGGAAAGAAAGAGATTTAATATGCCGACACATTGATATCTAAACGCATATAAAAATTTATATATATATATATATATATATATATATATATATATATATATATATAGACAGGCGGATATAGGTATGAATTGAGGGGGAAAGATACGAGATTGCGTCAGCATGTCCGTAGTCTAACAGCTAGTTAGCTGAAGTTTGATTTGAAATGTTCTCTGCATAATATTTGATCTATGTAATGAATATGTATAGCGGAATTGGCAACAAAGTAGATTATGTTAAAATATAAATATTTGCTCAGTAAAATAAATGCCTTTTCGTTGTTAGTCATCGGACTTAGAGCTGTATCAATATACGAACAAATTAGTAGCGAAATCTAGACAATAATATTATATGTAC